TTAATTGTAATAATATTTTAATATTTAATAATAATATTTTATTGTGATTAGACTGATAAAATTGAACAAAGAAATTCTATTCAAAAATGGAACATGGAAGTCATATGAAATAATTATTTCGTATCTTGCTACCTAACCTTAAAACATTATGAAAATGTATACACTACACATGGGATTAAATACAATTATATAAGATTAGAAGACATATAACACTATTATATCATTACGTTAAATTGGTTTTGGGTTATTGGTCAAAATATACTTTCTTTAAATTTAGCTAGTACTTACTTACTATAATATTGTAAGTTACAAGATTAAATTTAGAACTATTAATTAAATGTGGTTTTTGAAGTGATACATGATTAATATTCATATATCGTCACACCTACAGCATGTATGCAAAACAATTTCATTAAACTCAATTTCACCAACACCAATTTCGATTTTCTGTAATTTGTGTCTTTTATCTGTTATATCACGAAGCACAACACGAAACTTTAAATGTAATTAAAAGATGATTTGAATTGTGACAATATAAAGATGTATCAAAATGAGATAATAATGAACTTGAAGAAAAAAAAACGAGAAATATTACTATAATGTTGACAGCCATTTTTATTGTAACTTCCAATATTCTGATCGTGTATATCCTAGATCAGATTTAATTTCGTATTAGCGCACTTAAAATTTAACTAATTACTGTTCAATTATTATGTAATTAGCATTACAAAATTATCTGCAATTAAATGTATAAATTGATCATTTAATTACGACTAAACATATAAATGGACAACTGAGTAAAATAGGAATATAAAAAAATACTAAACACGAATCAGAATATTATAACATAATGAATCTTAATTGCTGGTGGTGAAATATTATTATAGTTTCTTACGTTAAAACGTAAATTAGAAACACTAGCTACTATTATATAAACAAACTTAAATCTATTTTACCTTGGACCTGAAATATCTTGAAATAATATGTTAATATTACAATGTAATAAATTTTCAAACACTTAATAATATAAAATTCACTTTTAAATTAATTGCTATTATAACAACAATTGTCACTTCACGGTACAACCATTTCAGTGACTATCCTTATCAAAATATGTCTTTAAGTATGTTCAATGGTTTAGTGTTAACTTATCTTATAAAGAGGAAGATATACATAAATGTAATGAAACATGTTTACCTACGTCTCCTTCTATGCAACATTACTTTATACTCTGATCAAACCATGAAGTTATTAAAATACTATTCTAGAATTATTATAATAAAAACATACGAATAATACTTGAATTCATGTATGGTCAAATCGTAATAAGAACGCAAATTATTAATTAATTGGAATGAAACATCTTACCCTCATTGTATATGAAGTCCACTGTGTTCATATTCCACGGGGAGTTGTAGGCAGGTGAGTTCCAGCACTTACCTGTAACAAATGTCAAAGATGTTCGTTTTAATACAAAAGTAAGACCCCTTTTAAGGGGTCACAATTTGTACAGTCTATTTTGCCAATATGACATTGTCCAGGGGTGGAATTTTCTAAAAACTCAGTATCCGACGTGTTTTTGAAAAAAAAATACTGTTCTTGAGTTATAAATAGGATTTGAGATTCTTGCAACGTCGAATATGAAGCCGGCTGTCTTCTGGGTTGTAGCACCGTGTAGTCTGGTAGAAATTTACTAACGTTTCAGAGGTACCTGCTGCCTCCATTATATAAAATCATCGCCCGGATTACTGAGCCAGTAACCACCTCTGAAAGCTATAACTGATTCTATGATTTTATGTATGTAGTAAAATGAGATATTTAGTAGGCGTTCTAGACGTCATCGCGAATAAAAATTTCCTAACAATTTCATACCACGCTTAATACCTCTATTTTCGAAACATTTTTTTAATAACAGACTGAAGGAAATTTTCGTGGATTCTGCCCTACAAAAGAACATTGGTCCTATAAGAAGGTAAATCCTGACGTACATCAATTAATGCTTAACCCCTCGTAATTGTCAGCAGTTGACAGAAAATGAGGATAGCGATTAAGAAAATGTCTTGTTACTGAAATGTGTAAGGCCGTGAAATATTTTAAATACCAAATAAACAACTTCGTAAGGAAATGGTGCCTCTAAGACCATTCTAAATTTTCTTTCAAAACAAAGATGGTAAAGTTGCGTCATACTGTGATATAATAAATATATATTTTAAATCTTGTCCATCTAATCACAATAAATTCTTATTAAATATTAAAATATTACAATAATTAACATTTAAAATATTTAAAATATATCAAATGATGTTCTTTATCGAAATATTCGATTTACATTAGACCATCATTTTTCATTTCACGACATGTATATTTAAAATAAAAACAAAATATATAAAAAATAAAATATATATTTCAAAACAAATTTAAATTCTAATATTACACAGTTTACGTAGCAAAAATTCTTAATTTTATTTTTCAACTTCAATTTACAGACTAAAGTTAAGATTTTAGGTGGGACTAAATGTACATTTTAGGGCATTCAACGACCCTATATCAACTCGTAAACCCATGGTGCAAAATCATTCTTTTTAAATCTAATATTAACTAAATGTTCAAGAAATTTCCCAATATTCAACAATTTTTTATTACCGTGTTCACCAAAGTTTTCCTTTTTGCAAGGACCTCTGAAACGTCGGTAAACTTCTACCCGACTACACGGCGTAACAACCCAGAACACAGCCATCTTCAGACTCACCAATAGATCGATCTACTTTTAACCCGAGATTTTGCAGTAAAATTTATATATATTTTTCAAAATTAGTCAGTGAGGGTTAAATTCTATCTTTGATGACTCGGGCTACCCTACCTTTACGTTCAGACACGGAATAAACAGTCTTAAGATTTGCTCATACAATTGTTTCTGTGTCACTACCAACTGCCTTCAAAGCAATCTTTAATTTGACGAAGGTACTGTGATGTTTACATGTTTAAAACGAAGGGGTTCATTGCTTCTCTTGGGGGGGACGGGGGAAGGACTTCAGGGGAATGTAGTGGTTAACTTTCATTAGTTCAACCGCTGCCATTCAATTAAGGAAGTGGCTAACTTAATGGCGTCTCCCCACATCCAACAAATCGGCTTTGAACAC